CAGGGGGGAAAGTACTGCAAGAAGCCTTTCAAACAGCTGCGTTTCGCTAAACTTGTTGCCTGGGACCGAACAAGTCGTTCCAGATGAGGCTTTCCTTGCCGATGCTATCAGGTTCGGCGGAAGCTTGCGCCTCTTGAACGAGGTTTCTGGACGAAAGCCCTAGCAGAGACGGGCTTTACCCAACAAGCTAAGCGCGAGAGAGACCAGCTGTTGGGCGTACAACAAGCCGAGCTAGCGGCACTTAGTCGAGCGCTGCGAAGGTATTTCCACTTGTGTTGTCGGGTGGGTCCAGTCGGCAGTACCAGCTGCTTGGCTGTCCTCAGCCTTGAATGCGTGGCCACGCGAGTGGTCGGGCAATACGCCATTGAATCGTGGAATGTACCAGTAGCGTGTTCTCCAGTACATTTTTCGGTCTGTAGTAACTGGAACACACCAAGTTCCGCGAATGAAGGTAGTGCGTCGATAGAGTCTCGTCCCTGTGGTCCTCGTTGCATTCACAAGAGCTGAGATTGAGCTCCGGTATTGCGCTTTGTCGTGCATGGCGCACCCCCCTTCTTGGTGCGCAAGGGATCTCGAACGAGCAAGGCAAGAAAGAAACATGGAGGTGAAGGCCCAACAGCGCAAGAACGGTTGCAGTAGCGACGATATCTGGAGCGTGTGGTCTGCGGCGAAGTCTGGAGAAGACAAGAGGTCTGTTTCGTTCGGCACGGCATGCATGTCGTGGGCAGCGCTGTTGGTGAGGCAGTGAGAAGTTTTATCCCGGAGGCCTGATCGCGACCAATGGGGTTAGGAAACAACAATGGCATGTGTCTGGAGCGAGGCAACAACCACCACGAACGGAGAGCCGTAATCCCAAGGACTGGCAGCTGACGGGAAGTTAGACGTGTATGGAACTATTGTCTTGTTGGCCGTCATTGATGTTGTTCTGGGGCCTAGAAAAGAAACCGGGGGGGGCAGCGAGACGAACAATCCCCGCTTGGTCGTTAGCTGCTTTCAGACCAGAATCGCATGTGGCAGCAATGCTCCATGTAGACGTGGGCAAGTGGCAGGTTAGCACTTGTCTGTTGAAGCATGTGTCACTTTTTCTTCGCTGGTTTCCCCGACATTGGCATGCGACGGCTCCGGATGAACCTGAGAATCGTTGTGTGTCGAGCCTAGAAGGTTAGCGGATCACTTGGAAATTTATTCCCTAAAACATGCTATGGTACCGCTCAATATGCTGTAACCGATTTCAGCACAAGTGTTGCGCAGCCACTCGCCCACCTTCGTCACATACCACCAACATCACATCACTCCCTCAACTCGCTTGAATTTGCACTGCCTCCCATACACCGCACGTCGCTCTCCAGGCTGTCCTACATGCTTTCCTTGCCCCGTGCGAGCGTTGACGCACGGGACCCAGATTCGGGCTGGACTGCTTTGCACTTCGCCTCCAGACAAGGGAAGCTCGCCACGGTCAGGGTTTTGATAGAGAACCAGGCGTTCGTTGGGGCGAGGGCGCCGGGCGGGAGGACTCCGCTTCACCTTGCTGCCGGGTGGGGAACCTACGAGGTAGGTGTTGAGGTCGCAGAGGGAGACATACATACGTATATATATATATCGTGCGTTGGCTACTGCATGTCGACACATACGGGAAAAGAGTGTGCATCGAACTATTGGTTGTGAAGGAACGGCTGGGAAAAGGATAGTGGGCGGCGAAATCATGTGACCGAGTTGGGCTATCATGGTAGCAATCTCCAGGTCAGACCCGTGCGTCGTTCCTTTGTCTGGCTCGATCATTGACGCGTGGCGGCCGTTGTTGATATGATTATTCAGTTCAAAGGGCTCCCGAACGTGCAGAGTCCCACTTCAGTACCACAAGACATAATACACTCGCCAGGGTAACAGCCAGAAAGCGAGGCATCAACGTTGAACTTGACCGTCGCTCCATCACCAGCCATCGTCATTAGGTGTGCTTCGCTCTCCTTCGGGCGGGAGCCGACAAGACGGCAAGAGACAGCGAAGGAGAAACCGCGCAACATCTCGCAGAATGTCGACAAAGAGGCAACGTCGTCACTCTCTTGGACAGTTGGAGGCCGCTGGGTTTGACGGCCACTCAGACGCAGAAGATCAAGGAGTCTAGGGGAGAAGGGCCCTTGAGGTAAGGCATGCCCGGCCTTCACGTGTTAGCGTACGTCATCGAAAGTCCTACCCAGATTTGGGGAACGGTGCTTCGCGGGTCTCGAGATATGCTTCGTTTGTAGACCAATAATCGTTCGCCTCACGAGTGACCACAAGCGGGAAATCTAGGAAGTACCGCATCGAATTGGATAGGGTATGGGTCGGAAGGTGTATTCACGTTTTGAGAATTTACAGAGGTGCGAGATTGTGTTGTCCCTGTTCCGTCCACGCCAACCCGCGTCGAGACACATTACCGGGCTTTGTTACGGACTGTCAAATGCGCCAATCAGTCAAACCCCACACGGAGCCATCAATTTCTCCCCTCTTGAGGAAACCACCCATCTGATGCACCAAACTGCGCAATTCGACCAATACAGACCATGGGAGACGGAAACCGATCCCGAGATAAGGTCACAGCTGAGAGCGCTTGACATGAAGAGAGGCACGTTCGGAGAGAGGCACGCAGGCATCCACACAACTCTCGGCAGGCTTGGTGGCCTGTGTCGAGCGGCGGGGAGACTGGAGGTGGGCAGGGTGTTGGAAGCGGACCGAACCGTGACGATCAGCGAATACATGTGATAGATGGATGGATAGACTATATTGTCCAAGGTCTCCCTTCGGGACATCGGTGTAAAGCCCCCCGAGGGCGATGGAAGACGACATGCCCGGAGGTTTTCTCATGGGCTGGTGTGTCTCAATGATTGCTATCAGGCCATTTACATGAACTTTGGGAGCCAGCTCGACCTAACAACATGATGTCAGCGGGATTCATCCGAAAGAGAGTATATGAACACAAACGTTGCGCCATTCTCGGTCAACCACAAATCCTCAATCAACAGGATGCCAAGGGCCACATGCAGAGTCTAGTCGAGCTTCTGAAAAGCGAGCCGGCCGCAGGCGGAGAAAGCTGTGAACCACCGCCATTTCGGCACGAGCCTGGAGCTTTGGCCGTGGCGCTCGGAAACCTCGGGGTGGTGTGCCGTGAACTAGGAGAAGCCGAAGAGGCTTCGGGGCTCTTGGAGGCGTCTCTGAACGCCGCCTCCTCGTCAACTACGAATGCCTCTGTTAGGTGCGACTGCTGTCGTACCACCGCGTAGAGCAGTAGGGTCGAGGTCTTGCGCTGAGGAATGATTTCCAGCAACCACATGGGTGGATGGCGTCGGCTCATGTATGATGCGGGAGTTCATTTGCCATTGGAAGCAGCTGATGCCCTTTGCTGCTCAGAGTACAGGATCTGAAGGCAAGAACCAACATTATCTACACACGGTCGGCTCGGATAGTCGTCGCGCAGACGTGTGACAATACCGGTCGTGCTTCCACGCTTGAATGCTTTCTCCCTCCCGACGCCCCCTTACCCCGTTGTGTGCGAGGCGTGCCTGTAGGGACCCACATCGGAAGCACATAGTGGATGCCGCGACTCGCAACCTTGGCCTTCACTATTTATCAGAGGGTAGGGTGGAAGAGGCCCGTCCGCTCTTGCGCGCATGCCTCGAGAGCTATGAGGAAACCCTCCAGTCTGACATGCCAGGGGGGCACGAAAGCTTGGACCTTATAACTCCGTTAACGGTGCTGTCCTACGCCGACATGCTAGCAGGTGGGAGTAAGCACACATGAAACGGCCCCTCGTGACCGCTTCGAAATTTACTGCCCCTTACATACCATCGACATCGTGAGATGTTGGCCTGAAAGGGAGTTGGCACAAAACGTCGCGATTCTTTCCCAACCGACGATCAAGCCTTACCCTCGGACCCTCCATTGCCAGTACCTTAACTTTTTCACTGTATGGTGAAAATAATTCTACATGACACAATAGGTGACCACACCGCCGCCGCCAAACACTCCGCACGGGCTCAAATAATTGCATCAAAGTACCGGGAGCACGGCAATGCACCCGACGGCGTCCTTCCTGTCACCGAGGTCGGAAAGTCGCAAGAGCTTTCCGACCCGCTTCCCCGCCTGGAGTGGATGGGAGTGCAGCGGTTCGTGGCAGAAGACTATTCGTCCGCCAGCGAGTTCTTTGCGCGAGCGCGAGAGCTCGTGATGCTGCGGCTCCGGGACCGGGATCGCTCGAAGTCGAAAGGGGAGACCGTTGCTGCTGGCCCAAGTGGAAGCAGAAGCGGCGTCGGCCGGGCAGCGGGGCGCGGGGGCCGGAAACAAGCGCCAACAGATACCATCCCCGTTGGAGGCAAGAAAGCTGCCTTGTCGAGAAAGGACCCGTGCGACAGCAGCGCTGGGGACCTTGGAGGTGCTGATACACCGGGAGAGTTTCATCCGGACGCGATGCGACTCGACCGCTGCATGGCTGTTTCCATCTGTCTGCAGGGACCTGAAGCATTTTAGCGCCCAGGGGGTGGTACGACAAGAACTAGCGATAGGCAGCAGAGCTCTGTGTTGCCACTGTGTGGAGTCTCGTGGGCTGACTGCGTACATCTACTTGTTACCGCTACACTGCACATTCGTCGAGGAACTAGTCTACATGGTGTGGATATTTTTGTGTCTGACATGCGAAACACGAGGCCACTTCGGGAAAGACGACACAAGAGCAAAGGTCATGTCCCCTTCATGCGCTCCTGTCGGCTCTTCGCCGAACACTGCTGATTGCGCGGTCTACGCACAACGCGCACTGGGTCGTCTAGTCCACGGGAGCAATACCAATAGCAGCAGTGTGCATCAGCGAAAAAAGAAAGCTCTTAGCAGCGAACAGGCTGAACGAGTGGCTTAGAGCCGCTTGACGGTTGGTCCTAGTGGGGTCAGATCTGCTTCTTCCGAAATCACCTATTGGCAATCACCGCAGACTTTAGATAATATCCACCCATTCTGCCTAAACAACAGCGTAGTCCAGATCTACCATTTCTAAGTCCATTCCAGAAGCTCGAGCCCCGCACCCGGTCAACAACAGCATGATTCGGGCCTATCGGGCTCTTCTGCCGTGCTTGGTCCTGTCCTCTCCATCTTCTCGCCTCTTTATTGCAGCCTCCATTACTGCTGTAGGTATCGTGTACGCGACCGGCCGCCCCTTGTACGTGATCGTCTCACCCAAGTCGTACCAAGCAGTGTCGCAGACCTCCGCGCACTTGTGCGCCAGTTTCGACTCGATGGACGTCAGCCACGCCAGCAAAGACTCCGCCGCCTTCCGACGCGCCTCCTTTTCTAGCCTTCTCCTACGCTGTGCCTGTCTTCTGGCCTCCTCCGTAAATTCCTCGTCCCGCTCCCCGTCCCCGGCATCGTTGTCGGCATCGCTTCCCTTGCCTTCACCACCGCCATCAGAATCTGCGTCAAAGTCGTCGTCCCTATCGTTGCTGCTCGAGTCGTCTCGGAGAACGCGCTCATCAATCGCGTCGAATTGTTCCCAGCAGTTCAGCTCGTAGAGCACGCCTTCTTCGGTGGGGGAGAACACCGACGATGCGGTCATCGACTCTCCGTCGTCTTCAATTCGACGTACGTAGTCGATCACCTTCGATCGAAAAGGAGGACAAAAACTCGTTAGATGATACTTAGTTTTCCACTCTTCAGGCATGAGATCTTGGAGAGAGCAAAGGGCCTGCGTTGATGTTGATGTCGTCCTCATCGCAAGAACTGTTCCGGTTTCTGTTCAGTACCTTCTAGTATCCGTACCGGTTCGATTGACTCGAACGCCTTCCGTGGTTGCAATCAACGGTACACAATTCAAAACATATCACGACGGATAATCAGTTAAGATATGATTTTCAACGCAAGGGATTCGGACCTTATCATCGGACCAGTTTCACACTGCCGTCAAGAACCAGGAACAATAAATAGGTAGTTTTCGCTCATGTCACCCCGAACAGACAAAACTATTGGCGAGTACTGTGAGTTATTGCGATGAAGCTCATACTTGGCCCCCTACCTTTTCTCTCAGCGGGACAGCCTTGCTGGCCGTCTCGAGAAAGAACGCCGTTTTCGGGAGGTCCAAAATCCTCTGGACGGTGCAGTACTTTTGCAGGAAGTCGAGCTTCAGCCGGGCAGGCACGTGCAATGCTCTCCACGACGCCTCCAGTCTTGCCTGCGATTGTTACGACGCACAAAGGACAACGTGATAGCTGCCACCGAAGGGAAAGCAAAGCTATTCACAGTGGACAGGTTGACAGTAGAACCTCTTGAAGAGGTAGTCTGAATTTGCTTGGTGGATCGGGGGGGAGACACTACTTGTTCCTCCTTACAGCAGCCGAACGCCAAACAAAAGTAATGTTGAAACTAGGGCTCACGTCTAGATTTGTCAAGGCAGCACCATAGGATCAAACAGTACGCGACCAATAAACAGAATATTTCCTTTGAAAAATGACAACCCATTCTTTCCATTCGACATGACACCAAGCGCGAAGAACGTAGTTCAGGAGCATCCATCAGAAAAACCCAGTACGCAACGGAAACATTTCGAAAAACAAAGAAAACAGCGCGGCCTAGGGTCTGAATCTGGTCAGGCACAGTCAGCCTAGATATCATTGAGTACAATGTTGACGAATGCGCTACTCGAGCCAAACCTTCCGCCACAAATAACAGCGTGGGACACTCCATATACTCACTTGCAGTTCTGCGGATGTAGAGCTTCCCTCGGAGGAGGCTTTGGCGCGTACGCTGTCAACACCCCACACAGAGCCACCGGGGCGTATACCCCTTACTCTTTTCCCGTCGTGGGTTGGTCCGGTAGTCCCGCTCGAGGTGCCTTTGGCGCTGCTGCTAGTGTCTCCATTTCCTCGCCGGGAACCTGTGGACGCACGGTTCGCGTACCGCTTCGAATGGGGGAAAGAAACAGTCCCACTCCCTTCGGGGGGCGTTTCGTTCCGACCATCACCTCCTAGCATTGACTCTCGGAACACGTTCGTGAAACCGTCACCACCGGATGCAGATGAGTGACCAACGCCGTCGCCGAGATCCCCAGTTCCTTCCCTCGAGCGCCGTTGTGTCCGATCGCTCCCACCCAACCTCTTCCGAGTCACATCGGAGCCACCTCCGGGTTGGCACAGCACGCCCTCTCCGATGCGGCTGCGGCACCGCGACTCCTGCGCCTGGGCGGTGTGTCGCCCCACGGCTTCGACGACCTCGAAGTCGGGCTGAAGAACGCCTGTCGGGCAGACCCCGGCTGGGAACAGCGCGTCGCCGGGCCTCCCTTCCAGGTGGTCGGCCTTGTCGTAGTACTTCTTGAAGTGCCGGAAGACCTCGTCCCTCTTCGAAAGCTCATTCACGACGCTTCCCGAACACTGCTGCTGCTGCTGCTGCCTCCGTCCGTTGGCGTGGTCCTCCCATCTGGAAGTGCCCCGGGGTCTGTTGTTCTCCCCCGAGCAAGCTAGTGACGTCAAGTCCCCGCGGGATTTCAGTTTCGGCCACTCAGATCGAAACTCGTCCAGCGTGGGAACGTGGCCGAGTTCGTCGTACCCAAGGATGCCGGCAAAGGTTTCTGACGAGGGTGCTGATAGCGCCGCGTCATTGCTGGTTGGAGGGCACGCATCCTTGGCTGCATCGTCGTCTGACCAAGCCACCGCCTTCGACGAGCCACCCACTGCGCCTTGACGGGAGCTGTCTTTTGAAGAGGGTCTCGCGCTCTCAGAGTCGTTCACGGCCACCGTTGTCCTGCTTCCCGACGTTGCGACTATCGCGGGCGTGCGCCGACCAAGTGTAGAGGTCGTGTTGTGTGGGCTTCCTTGGGGCGGGCTGCCACCACGCTCCGCATCCGCCGCCATTCTCGCCCATACCTCGTTCTCGATCTTTGTGATGTTGACGTTGTTGTTGAGGTCCGCCCAGAACTGCGTGTGTACCCTGCGCGTGCACGGAAGATGGCCAATCGGCCGACAGCAGGGATATATTTCTCACCAAACATTAGCCAACAGGAGAGGTTGGCTTCGAAACTCTTCTGGGATTAGTGCGAGATGCTGCTGGATCGGCTTCCAGCGACATCACGTGCTCGGAGCGGTTTCGTCGCCGTCTAGACCTTGCTGTGCGAGTGAAACGCCAAGCAAATCTCCACCCAAACGAATCATTACCTGTGCGCGTTTGCCTCAGGGTGGAAGATTCCTGCATCATCCAACTTCTCCTGTCGCCGAACGTAGCGCCGCTTCGCGGTATAGACAATATTTTCCACAACCTGTTGCACCTGCTTCTCAAATTCCGCCCTCTTGACAGCGTTCATCCGATCCATCCTGTGTGCCATTTCTGGCTGAAGCACGCGTCTCTCCGCCTTGCCGATGTCTGCCGCTCGCTCTTTGCTTCTCATGAGCACCGCGACTGTCTGATCCACACGGCATCAGCAAATACACGGCGCGAGCATGTCGCTTCAGGGCAATCACGGAATTTATTCCCGCCCCTTTCGTCTAGGAGCTTGCTCCAACATTCACCAAACGGAACAGCGATACGTTCAGCTTTGCAGTGCGAGAAGCGAGGCACTTGCTAGTTGATGCAGCATGTTTGGAAAGGTGGCGAGCGAAACATGTTTTTTGCCCGATCCGCAGGTGGAGCAAAACATCGAAGAGGAAAGGAAGCGGCAGGCAGGAAGAAATATGTTGGAAGGGTGGAAAATCAGGTGCTGCACCACCAATGTCAATGCCACCTCTTATGAACGCCTTTGTCACCAAACGTTTGAGCGACCGCCACATACGAACAGCACATTTGTTTGGGTGCGGTAGCTCGTCAGAGGCCGAAAGAATAAGAAGGTTGACTCAAGAACTTGTTGCCTAGAGAGTAAGAGGAGAGTGAGAGACATGCGGCAGGCAACACCATCGCCATGTAATATGTCCATCAACACATACCATCCGCGCATCCTCCGGAGGGCCCGTAGACAGTACACTCTGCCGAGCACCCCAAACAGCCCCCCTGCTCGGTATGAGATACGATCTACGAAATCCCCGCAACGACTATCATTGCCAGGTAAAACGGCAGACAGTAAAATCAAAACCCCTATGCCAGCAATATATCATCCACCATTCCAATCCAAACGACTCTGCCAATAGCCCACGTCCCACGAAATCGCCGGAACTTCCAACAGAACACGTCCTGCAAAGTTTTCAAACCTTTTTGATGTCAAATTTCTACCCCTTAAATTTCTGTCAAGAACAAAAAAATCACCCTCTTGAGAAAAATGCTCTACCAAATTCTCAAGCAGTCAAGACACGAGCATTCACCCTTGGAAAAATACCCAGCAAAAAGATCAACACCACATCAGAATCGCGTCAGAACGGGGAGGACGGGTAACTCCGGGAAAATGTGTCTCACGTCCTGACTACTCAGAACAAATGCATTCCTCAGATATATATTCATGTTTCAACTCAATGACCAGTTCAAATAACGAGAACATGCCAAACCCTTTCTCCGATGTCCAACACCTTGACAAAGAAACCAGTCCAGCAGCCCCCCTGCTGTAACATCCATTCCATCCTGAACATGAAGTCAAAATCAAAATAATCAATCAATCCAACAGCCCCCTGCTGCAGCATTCATCCCGAAAAACCAAAACCAAAACAAACCACCTGCGACTAAATAGCATCATGGAACAATACTTCCCCCCCCATGATTGTCAAGCAGAACTATCCCATCCATCGCATAGGCAGAAATCTACATCGAACAGCAGATCAAAGGCGCCAGTTCCAGGTCACAACTAAAACACATGATGCAAGAAAGCCCCCCCCGCTGAAAGAGTGAAACACAAAGAACAACATGAACGAATATTCATCACGAAGTCACTATGCGCGCAAAAAGTCTCCTTGGGCAGCGGTTTGGTCAAGAAATCCGCGCGTTGCAGGTCCGAAAGTACGTGGACTACCTTTGATTCCCCCCGCGCCACACGCTCACGGATGAAATGGTGGCCGATGTCGATGTGCTTCTAGTCGGGGGTAGTAGCCGGGTTACAAGTGAATAGCACCTACGGTTGTCCTCCCACACCGGAGTGCACCCCATATCACGGCCCGGAAAGATAAATTTCCACAGATACCGCAGAAAAATAGCGTCCTTCATCCCAGCAGACATCGCTAAGTACTCCGCTTCCGTCGAAGACAGGGTGACGCTCTTCTGCGTCCTACACAGATACATCACACTCGCACCAGCGAACATCACTAGTGCCCCAGAAACAGACCGCCCGTCGGTTGCCTTGTTGGCGAAGTCCGAATCGACAAAAAGTTCCATGTGGTCTCCTCCCACCTTGCCCCTTTGAAAAGTAATCCCGTACCCGCTCGTGAATCTAACATACATCAAAACGAGCAAAGCCGCCTCCCAGTGCAGTCGCTTCGGCGCGTGCGAATACCTCGCAACAGCACGTACCGCGTTGAGAATATCCGGGCGAGTCTGATTCGCCAGCCACATCAAGTGTCCCACCAGCGACCGGAAAGGCTCGTCGACATCGGGCTTGTCGGCGTCGTACTGCTCAAGCTTCAACCCAACGACCATAGGTGTCTCTTTGTCCGTCGTCATACCGAACTTGGCAACGATCTTCTCCGCTACAGCCTGCTGCGAAAAAGTCACCGTCCCCAACACCGTGTCACGAGAAAACCGGCAACCCGCATACCAGCGCAGTTCCCCAAGGCTGGAAATGGGCACATACCGGTTGAGGTCACACCTGCTCTTGCGCCCGATAGAAAATATGTCGTCTACAGTACGTGGATCACAATCACCATGGTGACTACACCGCTCTCGATCAGACGCATCACACACGCATCGGCGGCACAAGGCTCGAAACCAAGATTCTTCATGCCACGCATTAAGTGATGATGCCATGTGCGGGACGCCTGCTTCAGACCGTAAAGACTCCGTCTCAACCGTACGACCTTACCGGAAAGCGCACCACATCCAGCGGGAAGACGAATGAACACAACCTCATCCAGTTCTGATTGGACAAAGGCTTGCTCGGCGTCGAAATGGCACAAGTCCCAATCTATCACACAGGCAATGACGGCTAGCAATCGAATGCTCGTGATGGAAAGACACGGGGAGAAGTCTCAAAGAAGTCAACACCCTCACGCTGCGCAAACCCACGGGCTACCAACCTAGCCTTAGCACGCACAGCATACCCAAACTCGTATCCCTTCCATCAATACACCCACTTGGCGGAGATGACGTTCATCCCTCGTTGCTATTCCGCCCCGACCTCCTCGAAGGTGCCCACTGCATTCAGCCCGAAAAACTCCTTGCGTTCGGCGTTGGTCCAGATGTGGTGGTGTGGCCCCGCTTGCGCCTCCCCGTATGTCTCAGGCGTCTCCAGGTCGCACACCAGCCCCGTCGGCAGGGCTGGCTCAGCCATGCCCGGTGCAGAAAGCTCGGCGATGGACCGCTTGATCTCGTCCTCCGTGGCTAGAAGAGCAAATATCCCCGGCCCCGACCCATCTCGCTTCGCCCGCGACCTCGTCACTGCCGGGGTCGCTACGAACTCCCGCTGCCCCTGCCGACGCCCGCCTGTACCGCCCTCATGCACCAGCTCCGTCCACAGTCCGTCCGATGCCAGTGGCGGCGCCGCCGAGTGCGCGGGGGCAGGTGTGGCAACAGGTGCCGCAGGTGTGCTCACCCGCGAAGGCCCTTCCGCCATTCGCGCAAGTTCCGCCAACACCGTGCTGCGCGCTGCTTCGCTCTCCACCATGCTCTCCGGCCCCGTCATATGCTCATGCTGCCGCTGCTTCGTCGCCGCCGGAGTTTCCGCCGATGCTACCGCTCCTGCCGCCACTGCGGGGACCCCGGCCACCCCCTCCGCCGCCGCCGCGGGGGGAACACTGCCACCGGAGATCGCCGCCGTCGCCGCTGGAGCTGCCGCCGATGCTGCCGCTCCGGCCGCCACCGCGGGGCCTTCGGCCATCCCCTCTTCCGACCCCAAAGATNGCTGTGCATCTTGGACGGGCGGTGACGGTGACGGAAGCCGGGCATCATGAACGGCAGAAGCACTCGGATCCTCCTCCCGCCGTGCAGT